CAAGTACCCCCAAACCCACACCTTGCCTGTTATTAGAAAACACACACCCTGGCCTCCTCTCCGGACCTTTTCCCTGCTCCCTCCTTCTCCAGCCCATCTGCACAATGATACATACCTTGTTCTCAATTTCTGCAGGGCTGATCTGTTCCCTTCTAAGGAACTAACTCCTCCCTCTAGTAGGTTACTGTGCCCACTACTCCTAGGATTGTTTATGATTTAAGGAACTTGCTGCCTATCGCAGTCTTGAGCCACAACCACCCTTAAATTGTCACTGTGGGCACTACAAACCCATGAGAGGCTGTTGGGAGTACTGGGGGGTGGGGGAGGCAAAGGAGGGAACAAAGGCATCCTGCAGACTATACCTCATCAGCAAATGCTTGCTGTGCCTTCACAGAGGCCCTGCCTGCTTCCCTCCATCCCCCACCCTGCTCCGTGGCAAAGGATCTCGGCTTCCTCTCCACCTTTGCTTTCCTGTGCCTGACGCAGGGCAGTGATGACAACCTTGAGGCAAATGCAGGAAGGGCCTGGCCATCTTGGTTTCAAACCCCTGCTTCATTTCTCACCATGTAGGGAGAATTTCCTCTCCCAACTCCACTGTGTGCAAAGGGTTGGAGCTAAAACAGGTGCCTGGGTGGCTCAGTTGGTTAAGGGTCTGACTCTTGATTTCAGCTCAGGTCTCACGGTTGTGAGATCAAGGCCCGCATCAGGCTTATGCGCTGGGCAGGGAGTCTCTCACTTGCTCTCTCTCAAAAAAAAAAGTTTGTTTTGGTCTCTGCATCACAGAACCAGGTCTCCGCTACCTGAGGAAATTGAAGTTCTAGAGCTCAGCAATTTGGAAGATTTTCTGTCACCTATGGAATAGAGTGGTCTTTGCAATCCTGTCAGAGGCACACTGTCAATGCTAGGACACATTCATAGGACATATTTAACAAGTATTCATTACAGGGAGTGGAGAATTCTGAGACCCTAGTTAAGGTGAGCATGACATATTCCACCCTTTCTTGTCATTGTTTAAAAAATAAGTTGTTCATTGGTCCATCTTTCTACTTCTATAAATACAATCTGCTCTGATTCTTTTTGTTAATGATTCAGGACCCAACTGTACCTTTAAGGTCACAATTATGAATATTTGCTCTCATCCTAGTAGATGATTCTTAAAATCTCAAAGCTGGCCTTCGAGTACTCTAAAGCCAACTGTCTACCAGGCATCACATCTGTTTCCAAGATTTCTCCATCTGTAGGTCCTGATGCCATCTCAAAATGTGATCATCCTGGAGTGGAGTGCATCTTTCCCAGCTGCTTCAGTTGCCCTTAGGGACACATTTTAGCTTTGAAGTGTCCTCCGTAGTATATACCACAGTTTCCTGCACACAGCAAGCACTGAACAAATGTTTGATCTGACTTGACTTCTCACTCTTCTCTATCAGCCATAGTCCAATGAGCCTGTCTTGGCCTAGCAGGTATAAGCCTTTAGGATTTTACCCTTGAACTCTTCCCCACCCCGCTCTGTGACTGTGAATTTCTGGAGAGATGGCAGAGTAACAAAGTAGCCGTGGCCTCCAAGTGAGACCAGCTCAAAAAGCAGCGGCCAGGGGAGGAAGGGAAACGGCTGAGAAGCAGATAAGCAGCACTACAACCCGGCAGGACTGTCTTCCAAAGCAGACAAGTCATTCAAAGCGGACACCTCTAAATGCTCAGGTCCAGGATAAAAATAAATAAATGTGCAACCTCAAAGTAGAAAACAAGTTAACAGGAAAACAAAAGAAACCATAGAAAAACCATCTTCTATGATTCATTCAGAAAATATTTACTGAGGGGCGCCTGGGTGGCTCAGTCAGTTAAGCCTCTGCCTTCGGCTCAGGTCATGATCCCAGGGTCCTGGGATCGAGTCCCACATCGGGCTCCCTGCTGAGCAGGGAGCCTGCTTCTCCCTCTGCCTGCCTCTTTTCCTGCTTGTGCTTGCACGCGTCAAATAAATAAATAAAAATTTTTAAAAAAAAAAAATATTTACTGAGCACTTACTGTGTACCAGCTGCTGAAACACAGTGACGATTGAAGAAAAACTCCTGCCTTGTTGGAGCTCACTTTAATGGCCTCAGTGCTTACCTTGAAATGCTTGACATACACATGTTTTAAATTCTCAGGGTGCTCATAACTCAATACCTCAGCCAGTGGTACCAAGTCTCTGGAGATCTGCTCTGGATGCAATGGTCCAGAAAGGCCTCTCTGAACAGGTTACAGTTCAGATGAGACCAGGACAGGCCCGAGAAAAAGCATGCCAGGCACTGAACACAGCCAACCCCAAGACGCCAAGCCAAACCAACCAAGCTCTTCTCACACAAGTAGACATAAATCAGCAGAGCCTGCCAGGCCTCCTGGGTCTCCTTCTCCACCATTCTTGCCCTTGTCCAGCCAGTTCCCACCCTAAGTATCTCTGTGATACCTCAAATCAAACTTCCATACACTCAGCAGAATAATCCTTCTCAAAAGCAAGCCTGTTTTGGTCAGAAGAAAAGGACAGACTACCCCATAACGTAATCATTAAGTACCTACTATTTCCTAGGCACTATCCTAGATTCCGAGGATACAGCAGTACATAAAACAGGCAAGGCCTGCTGTTCCAGTGAAGTTTACATTTCAGTGGGGGAAGAAAAGAAATGACTTGTCCAAACAAATTTCCGATCACAAATGTGATAAAGAAAATAAATAAGATGGAATGAAGTAAGTAAAATGGTAATGAAATCAGGCCTAGGTTTGGGTGGGAGGATGGGAGTGGGAGGGGATGATACGTTTTCTATCGGGGGGGGGGGGGGGGGGGAAGGCCTGAATGACCCAGCGCAGCCATATAAAACCTGGGGGAGGAAAATACTCCAAGAGTAGAAAAGAGCCAGTGCAAAGGCCCTGGGGGAGGAAAAGAGGTCAGTATATTCCAGGACCACAGAGAAGGCAAGGGCAGCAATACCACAGCAGTGGAGAGTAGTGGAAAGGGATGTCTGGAAAACAGGTGGGGGCCGGGTCCTCTACAGCGAAGCAGATTAAGATAAGGAATTGTACTGGGATTCCAGGAGCAAAGAGAAACCACTGAAAAGGTATAAACAAGGACTCCATGACAATTAGTTTTCCATATGAAAAATAACAGAACATTGGATTCCCAACTTACACCATAAATGAAAATAAATTTCAGATTGATTAGAGACATAAAGAACAGAGTAATAGTACAAACTTGCAACTTATCAGATATAATTCTATATGCATTTAATTGTATTAGCTTATTTAATCTCCAAAACCCTTAAATCCCCCCCAAAAAAGCCTGAGTTAAATACCCTTAAATACTCTTATTTGTACAAATGATCAAACTAAAGCTCAGAGGAGTAAACTCAGTTGCCCAGCCTTTAGCGGGCAAGATGGAATTTGAATTCAGGTCGTTGCACTCTGGGCCTGAGTTCTTAATCATCATTGTGCCATGGGACATTTTTATTATGCTTTAGAACCAAAGGACATCTTGAGCAATGCACAAAAAGCACAAATCATAAAGGAATACAGATATGTTTGACTCCATACATTCACAAAACTTCTTTATAAAAGTTTAAATATATGCGTCAGGGTAAGAAGCAACATATGTAAGGACAATGCTATCTGTTTTGTTCACTGCCATGGTCTCATTCACCTACGAGTGTATTTGCACATAGCAGGAGCTCAGTGAACAGATGTGGAAAGGATGGATGAGGGATGGGTGGAGGTTTATGTGGAGCCAATGTACCAGGCTCTATGCTATATGCTGGCAACACAAATGTGAGTCACACAGATTTCCCTCTGTCCCCTTGAGCGCCCAACCTTCTGGGTGACGCAGGTGACATCTGCAGATCCAATGGCAGGTCACTGAGAGGCTTCAGTCTGAGGCACTTGGCGTTTGTACTTGAGGCTGCTAAGACCAGAGGCCAGAGACCAGTCTGGATATGATGAGGGCTTGACCAGAGCAGAGGGAATAGAAAAAACAGATGTGAATTCTACATTAAGTACATAGTAGAACAAAAGGGATCTGGCAACTGATAAGATGTAGGGGATTAGAGGCACAGAAATGAAAGGATAACTCTTGGGTTTCTGGATAGATGATAATATTGATGAACTACAAATATAGAAGGAGAGGGTAAATAAGGATTTTGGTTTGAGCCTAGAATACCCACCTCTCTGTTTCCACAACTGAGTAATATCATATTCACCTATTCCCTACTGGTTTCATAATTATTCAATAATATTGCTTCAAGCTTCTTGGTGAAAGATATTATGTAATATTATGTACCAGGCTGAGGGGGTGGGT